TTTTTTGGTTGCAGCCGTCATTGTTGTTTGGTAGGTCCGGGTTGGATTCGAACCCGCCACCCTAGGTGTACGTGGCTGGAGCCTTAGCCAGTTGAGCCATAGGCGCCGAGCTTGAATAAGCTCTTTTATGTACTTATCTGGTCAATTCACCATGCTTAAGGAGGAGAAAAGGCAAAGGGCAGCATGCAGTGAGATCCGCACACTTTCTGCAAAGGTAATATTATCTCTGCAAATGTTATTTCTGTAGAGATAAATGCTTCAGCTTTATAAACTTCCATCCCTGCCACAGTTGCTCAATTCTGCCGTTACATCTTGAAAGTGGCCACAAGCAGTAAGTGACAGGTGGTCATTGTTGTGTTTAATAAAATGTATCTTCAAAAATAGGTGGCAGCCTGCAGGCAGGCCATAATCAGTATAATGTGTGCTGCACTGTGGTGGAGGGATAGGCCTGGGAAGATGTATGCATGTCACATGCACCTAGCCGCTCTCAGCAATCCAGAAGAGTGCACAGATACCACTCCCCTCCTGGGAAGGGAACTGAGGGAAGGGGGGAAGAAAGAGAGTTCTTACTCTTACACCCATTTGTGTCTTTTGAATTTTAACCCTGGAACTTTATTATCTATTCCAAAAAACCACTCAAGGAAATTGCAGCTTTTTTTCAGGGAGTTAAGTCTTAGGGAGAAAGCACGTGAAAGGGGAACTTCATCTGAGGCTTTTACCTGGATCCTTCCAGCTGGACCACGCTATGCCCAAAGCCCTTTGCGTTCTCTTTGAAGGTCACCGCATTTTCAGTGTCCAGGTTGAACCCATGACATAAGGTCAAGGCTGGAGGGGGAGTAAGGGGTAGGGTCAAAGGAAAGGAGACAAGACAGCAGGACACCTCCCACTCTGTGCATCCTCCTGTCCAGAGTCAGCCTAACCCAGTATCCAAATGTCTGCCTCCCAGGTCCAGCTCCCATACTGGAGCAGGGATTAATACGTTTTTCTATAAAGACCCAGATACTAAACATTTTAGGCTTTACAGCAGTGATTTTCAACCAGTGTGCAAGAAGAGTATTTTAGGTGTGCCACAAAACTTTTTAAAGATCCTTAATTAAATAATTTTCAAGCTCAGCCCCAGTAGCTAAAGCGGCGAGGGCGCCAACCACATACACCAGAGCTGGCAGGTTTGAACCCAGTCCGGGCCTGCCAAACAACAATGACAACTACAATCAAAAAGTAGCTGGGCGTTGTGGCGGGTACCTGTAGACCCAGCTATTTGGGAGGCTGAGCCAAGAGAATAGCTTAACCCCAAGAGTTTGAGGTTGCTGTGAGCTGTGATGCCAGGCACTCTACTGAGGGCAACATAGTGAGGCTGTCTCAAAAAAAAAAAAAAAAAAAAAGAAGTTCACAGCACAGTATTTTCTTTTTCTTTACTCCTTTTTCTTTTTTTTAATCAACATAATTTACGTGTGCTGTGGAAATTAAACTATAGCTTCAAGTGTGCTGTGAGATTTTTTTAAAGGTTGAAAAACACTGCTTTACAGGCCAAGAAGCTAAGCGAATGTGTTGTTAGGTACTTATATAACAAGGGCAGAAATATATTTCCCCAAATTTTTCACTAAGGAAAGTTAAAAGGTAAGTATTAAGTACAAATTTTTGTAATACAAGTTTACTAAGGAGACACATGGAATTCTTTGGGGGCAGAAATAGCATTTCACTTAACTGGATGCAGTTAGCATTCCCTACCATCACATGGATTAGAAGTATTCATCTTCAAACTAGGAATATGGCTCCCAAGTTGTACAAAACCAGGTGGTGGGCTATATTTGATCCATAGGCCACAGTTTGCTCACCCAAGATCTACGAACTATCACCATCATTGGATGCATTCAACACCTCTCTGTTCTCCATCTTTTTTGAGCACACAAATGGCCTCTTCACTCAGTGTCAATGCCCCAATGATTTACTCAATAATCAAGTTTCTGTATACTCTTGATTAGAAAATTTCCTTCCTGTGAAACTCTCACATATTTCCTTCCCCTCTTGTCTCATTCTCCACAAAACATAGGCATAAAAGGAAACAAACTCGAATCACTTCCATTCATCATTCAATAAACATTTATGTCTGGGTCCTTGGAAAACAGAACTGAAGGTAAGGGGAGATGGTGAGGTGGGATCCAAGAGGAAACACCAGCTATGCACCTTGGACATGTCACTTCACACCTCTGGGCCTCAGTTTCCTCATCTGTAAAGTGAAGGGATCGGCCAAATGGCTTTGCATAGCCTATGAATTCAGTCATTTATCCAAGCTCCCCCAGCCATTCCATCTTGGTCCAGCTCTCCTCCCCACTTCCTCTTGAATCCTTTGTCCATCCCCAAGTCCCCTCAGCTTCTCCCAGACTAACTCCTAGATATTCTGTGCCTTTTCTCTTTACTCACAGATCCAAAAGTTCCCTTCATCCCCACCCCAAGGTTCCCCCCCCGCCCCCGTGCACCTGATAACAGAAGGACTCTGCAAGTCATGGCTGGAAGAAGCAGGAGCCTAGAAGGAGTAGAAACCGTAGGGTAGCAGGCACCGCTGAGCCATTCAAGGAAGCCACCAAACCTAGGAAGGGTAGAAAAAGAGAAGTGGAAGGCAGAAGTCTATTACAGACTCAAAGGAAGAGGGCGGAGGTTCAGTTATCACAGTGGGTCTGACCTTCCTCCTAGGACTGCACAGAGCCTACTCCCTTCTTACCCAGCTTCCTGACCAAACCATCAAGTTCACTTTCAAAACGATGCCATTTATTGCCCACTTGATTCCGGGGTTGCCAAACCATTATGAATAACAAGCTGGACAGATTTGGGACCTGCCTCCTGGAATGTATGCTCTAAATATTAATACAAATCAAACAAGTGTGGGGAGTCAAACCCTGCATCTCCCCAAAAACACACGTTGCAAAATGTCCCTCCTCCAGCCCAGAGAAACAGAAGAACCCTTCAGCCACAGCTGTCTTCATGTGTAGCCATCAATAAGGACAACTCAATTACAGAGATATCTGGTACTTTTTAAATATTATTTTGCTTTTTCTTAAAGCCTCAAAACTTTTGCCCAAGAATTATCACCTCCAATAATTTATCTCAAGACATAGGTAAGAAGTGACATCAAAGATATATGTGCAAATTCATATGATAGAATTAATGTACACAATTATGATCTAATAAAAATTAAAAAAAATTAAAAAAAGATATATGTACAAGTGTATTATTGCAGTGTTGTTTTTAATAGTGAAAAAGTGGAAGAACCTGAAAAACCAACAAAAGAAGAAAGGTTAAATGATGATGTATTTAATTTATGATTGTAGAAGTCATTCTTTTTTGGTATAAAGGTTTAAATACAAAATATAGAGAAAAATAAATCATCCTTGATATATCCTTACATTCCATTGTGTATAGTTAACTTCTAATTCTGTTTTCAATGACACAGGTAAATACTGTCACAAAATAGACCACAAAACCACGCCTGCATATGACTGCTAATATAATTTCTTTCTCCTTTTTTTTTTTTTTTTTTTTTGAGACAAGGCCTCAAGCTGTCACCCTGGGTAGAGTGCTATGACATCACAACTCACAGCAACCTCCACTTCTTGGGCTTAAGCAATTCTCTTGCCTCAGCCTCCCAAGTAGCTGGGACTACAGGTGCCTGCCACAACACCCAGCTATTTTTTGGTTATAGTTGTCATTGTTGTTTGGCAGGCCCAGGCTGGATTCGAATCTGCCAGCTCTGGTGTATGTGACTGGTGCCTTAGCCACTTGAGATACAGGGCTGAGCCTGCTAATATGATTTCTACACTAATGGCTTTTTTCACTGTTTCTCAACACATTTTTATTTTTGTCCCTAATTCCACTTTCCTAATAACCAGTTGGAAATAAATGTTTCATGGCTGAAAAAAATTTATAAAAATTCTGTACATTTTGTTTAAAAGTTATCTGTTCAAAAATATATATGTGCAGGAAAAGGCCAGGCACAGTGGCTCTTGCCTATAATCCTAGCACTCTGGGAGGCAGAGGCAGGTAGATTGCTTAAGCTCAAGAGTTCGAAACCAGCGTGAGCAAAAGCAAAACCTCATCTCTACTAAAAATAGAAAAACTAGCCAGGTGTTGTGGTTGAGGGTGCCCATAGTCCCAGCTACTTGGAAGGCTGAGGCAAGAGATTGCTTGAACCTAACAGTTTGAGGTTGCTATGAGCTATGACACCAGGGCACTTCACCCAGGATGACAGAGTGAGACTCTATACCAAAAAAAAAAAAAAAGGTTCAGCGCCTGTAGCTCAGCAGCTAGGATGCCAGCCACATACACTGGGGATGGGAAAATCAAACCTGGCTGGGACCTGCTAAACAGCAATGACAACTACAACAAAAAAATAGCCAGGCATTGTGACAGGCACCTATAGTCCCAGCTATTTGGGAGACTGAGGCAAGAGAATCACTTAAGCCTAAGAGTTTGAGGTTGCTATGAGCTGTGACGCCACGGCACTCTACCAAAGGCAACATAGTAAGACTGTGTCTCAAAAAAACAAAACAAAACAAAACACCAAAATGACCCAAGTGGTAGTCATTTAATAGTGTAAGGTACTACTAAATTGTCAACCACACACCCACAAATATATATATACATGTATATATATATATACATGTATATGTATGTGTATATATATACACATATATATGCAGGAAAACCAAAATGTAAGTAATGCTTATCTCCAAGATGGTAGGATTATGGGTATGTTCCAATACTTATTGCTGCATAGCAAACCACTCCAAAACTTAGTACCTAAAAACAAAAATTTAGGCTCAGTGCCCACAGCTCAGCTGTTAGGGCGCCAGCCACATACTCTGGGGCCTGCCAAACAACAATGACAACTGCAACAAAAAAAAATTAGCTGGGTGTGTGGCAGGCACCTGTAGTCCCAGCTACTTGGGAGACTGAGGCAAGAGAATCGCTTAAGCCCAAGAGTTAGAGGTTTCTGTGAGCTGTGACAACGCAGCACTCTACTGAGGGCAACATAGTGAGACTCTGTCTCATTAAATAAATAAATAAAAACAAGTATTTATTATTGGTTCATAAAAAAACACTCCAAAACTTTGTAAATAAAATAGCAATTTATTATTATCTTCTGTGACTTGCCTGGCCTCAGCAGTTCTCATATGGGGTATCTCATATGATTGCTCTCAGATCATGACTGGGACTGAAAACATCTAAAGTCTCAGTTGGGCTAGAATTTCAAAATGGATCACTCATACAGCTGGTGTTTGGGTATAGGCTAGGAGTTCAGTTGGGACTGTCACCTGGAGCACCTATATGTGCCCTTTCCAAGTGGCTTGGACTTCTCACAGAGGGACAGCTAGGTTTCAAAAGGAAGTAGTCCCAGAGACAGGAAGTAAAAGTTTCCAGTCTTGTAAAGTCTTGATCTAGAAACTGACAGAAATTCACTTCCTATATTCTGTCAGTCAATCAGTCACAGAGCTCATCCACATTCAAAAAAAGGGGACATAATCAAGCAAGAGAAGGAAATCCAGGGTATCCAAATGGGAAGAGATCAAATCATTGCTCTTTGCTGTTGATATGATCTTATATAAAAAGCTCCAAAGATTCTGTGAAGAGACTCCTGGAATTAATAAATTTAGGAAAATCTCAGATTACAAAATCAACGTACACAAGTCAGTAGCATTCTTCTGCTCCAATAATCAAGCTAAGAATCAAAAATAAAAATAAAAAATAAAATACCCAGGCATATATTTAACTAGGAGGTGAAAGACCTCTACAGGAAGAGCTACAAAACAGTGAGGAAGGAAATTACAGAGGCTATAAACAAACAGAAAAACATATGCTCATGGATTACCAGAATCAACATTGTTAAATACCACCAGAGTGATTAACAGATTTAATGCAATCCCCATTAAAATACCAACATTGTTTTTTGCAGATCTAGAGAAAATAATTCTGCACTTCATGCAGAATCAGAAATAACCCCAAATAGCCAAAGCAACCTTAAGCAAAAAGAACAAATCAGGAGGCATCACTTTATCAGACTTCAAACTATACTATAAGGCTATAGTAACCAAAACAGCATGGTACTGGCATAAGAACAAAGATGTGGTCCAATGGATTGAAACAAAGAACCTAGATATAAAACTATCCTTATATTGCCATCTGATCTTTAACAAAGCAGACAAAAACAGACTGGGGAAAGAATACCTTTTCAATAAACGGTAATGGGAAAATTGGATAACCACATATAGAAGACTGAAATAGGATCCACACCTCTCACCACTCACAAAAATTAATTCATGATGGATAACTGACTTAAACCTAAGGCAGGAAACTATAAGAATTCTAGGAGAAATGTTGGAATAACTCTTACGGGCATTGGCCTGGGCTAAAAAATGTATGAAGAAGACCCCAAAAGCAATCACAACAACAACAAAAATAAATAAATGGAAACTGATCAAATTAAAAAGCTTCTGCACAGCCAAGGAAACAATTCATAGACCAAATAACCTATAGAATGAGAGACAATATTTGTATGCTATTCATCCAATAAATGGCTGATAACCAGAATCTACAAAGAACTCAAGCAAGAAAAAAATCAACCCCATTAAAAAGGGAGCAAAAGACATGAACAGAAATTTCTCAAAAGAAGACAGACCAATGGCCAATGAACATATGAAAAAATGCTCAACAACTCTTAATTGGGAAATAGAAATCAAAACCATGATGAGATAACACCTAACTCCAGTAAGAATGGCTTTTATCAGAAAGTCCCAAAACAACAAATGCTGTTGTGGATGCAGAAAGGAAAACGTATACACTGTTGGTGGGACTGTAAATTGGTACAACCTCTATGGAAAGTGGTATGTATATACCTCAAAATAAAAGTAGACCTATCATTTTGATCCAGAAATACCACTACTGGATATTTGCCCAAAGGAAAAAAAGACATTTTATTAAAAAGACACCTGCACACAAATGTTTATAGCATTACAATTCACAATTGCAAAGATGTGGAAACAACCAAGTACCCATCAATACATGAGTGAATTAATAAAATATGCTATATGTATACCATGGAGTACTATTCAGCCATAAACAATGGTGAACTAGTACCTCTTATATTAGCCTGGACAGAACTAGGAACCATTCTTTTTTCTTTTTTTTTTTTTTTTAAGACAGTCTCACTCTGTCACTCTGGGTAGAGTGCCCCTGTTGTCATAGCTCATAGCAACCTCAATCTCTTGGCTCAAGTGATCCTCTTGCCTCAGCCTCCCAAGTAACTAGGACTACAAGGTGTCTGCCTCCACACCTGGCTAATTTTTCTATTTTTAGTAGAGATGGGGATCTCTACTCCTTGCTCTATGCTCTTGCTCAGGCTGGTCTCAAATTCCTGAGCTTACGCAGGACTAATGTTGACTAATTGGTCAACATTTCTGTCTGTAACATTCTGATGAAATAACTTTCATCAGAAATCAAGCTGGTGGCAGGGGAGAGGAGAGGATGGGTAAATTCACACCTAATGGGTATAATGCACATTCTGAATGAAGCAC